GGATGTTAGACATTCTATGCTGGCAACATCTGTCGGCCGCCAAAATGAGGTTTGGTGGTCAGAGTGCGAGCATTCCCACCAAAACCCCCATCAGCTTTGAAAAAAACGGGATGGTGGGGAAACTTTGATGGTGGGGGAACTTGATACCGCGACTTTCTACGTACCGGTATTGTTATGAGTTGTCAAACTGAGTTGCGCGGAAAACGACTAACGAAGCTGTGACACTATGAATTGACAATACAATGAAAGGCATGCGATTATATAGCGAGACAACCTAGCTAGGCGGGAACCTCGGAGATTCGAGGTTGGGTGCCGGTTGGGCAAGAAAAAGGCAAAAGCGACGCGAGGTTGCTTCGGCAGCAAGCAAAGTGGCCGAACGTGCACTTCCGAAAGTTGGGGTTGTACGCGGTTGAGTAAACCCCAGTAAGGAAAAGGGTTTTTCCTTACAGGTTGTTACGGGTGCAATGGAACGAGATAGCGAGGATTGCACTAGGTGTTAAACGAGTACAATGTATGAGCGAAGGCATTGAGCAAATACTTATGTGCGAACATGTAAACGGTAACGTGGTGCGTGCGAGCTAGCTAGGGCTACGCTGGCATCGAGGTTCGGGCTAGTCTCGAAGCGTAGGTCGACTCAGCCGGGCTAGCAGTGTATGGTATGGTGAAACAGTGCGCGCGAAGTTGGCGAAGCCCCGTTAGCAGTAATGGGCGAACAACGGCTGCTGCTGTACGCGATGTTGACGTCGCGGTAAGGAATGTCGAGAAAATTCCTTACACATGTATTCTTTTGACGCGGGATTGTACGTAAAGGATGACATTTATTTGATGCGAGATTGTACATAAATGATGACATTTCGGAGACGTGTGCCGAGACGTCCAAAAATTTTTGAATGTTCGCCTAAAGTTCGTTTCCCAACTCGTTTCGCGTCAAACACGTCAAATAATAACTCATATTTTCGCCAAGTGCATTTCGTCATTATATTTGCTGCTCTTCTGCCACCGGTGCCATAATCTGCCACCAAACTTCCATGTGATATCTGAAAACCCTATCTCAGGTACTGTACCTGGCCTTGTAATTGTACATTGTCAGACGGCCGAATTTATACTCGAAAACTGGAAAGAGAGTGTTCGGATTACGCCTCGTGGAACAGTCAAAATTTGACGAGTGCTTTGCCACACATTTTACGGAAAAAACAGCCATATACAAAGTTGGACTCACCCTTATTCTTGTAGCATTTCCATGTTATTTCAATATCCTCTTAAAATTCAATATTTATCTTCATATCGAGCTGTTATGCCCTACGTTATCAGGGTAAAATATACCGATACCCTGATTTTCAGGGTGTCAGCAGGGGTTGTGCCCTATTTTTTTCAGGATCTGATTTAGATGCGCCCTGTTAAATTAGGATAAATATTGTCTAAGTATACTGGACAAATGTTTTCCCGAAGAATTTGTCATTTCTATCAGGTGAAACACGTGTTTGTCAAATTATAAATACGTTTGTTAGTCTTTAGTAAGGTACACTATATGGGGTACAACACATGTTAGGGTTTGTACTTGTACCCCCACCTTTCTAGTGCACTTCATTCCCGTTTAGTACGTTCTTAACATGGTTTTTGAGACAAGGTTTGTCAAACTATAATTATTAAAGTTTCTAGCCTAGGTGCCTCTGAGGGTCCTCGTGTAGGAGCTACAGCTACTGCTAGCCTAGTTCCAGCCTTTGTCGCTGACTCGGATGCCACCTCAGCGACGGTGCCGCTTTCCTTCATCCTTGACTCTGGGGCGTCTAGCTGCACCATCTTTACGCCGCTAAGCACTCCTGTCACTGTCACCTTGGCTGAACCTTCAGTGGGACCTGTCGTTGCCTACAGCACCACCACTCTCCCGTGTTCGGCGGCTCCCTCTGAATTTCTCACAGGTTACTACACCGCCTCGTTCTCCAAAAACCTGGTGGGTGTCAGTCACCTCCACGACCTCAGTGTAGTCACTACTTTCCCTCTAGACGAGCCTGTTGCCTCCTACACAGTCGGTGCCACTAGGGCGCTGGAGGTCATGGTTTTGGAGGTACTGGAGCTCAGGGTGCTTTGCAACGGCGACCGTTCTTCTTGGACCAGCCGCGGTCACCACCGCCACCACCTAGCTCGGAACTTCGCCAGGTTCTCAGTCTTCCGTATTCCATTGGTGTTACTCCTCCTATACTGTGCCCTGCGTCTGACCCGTCCAAGACACAGTTACAGCCTGACTCCCCACTGCCTGCTCCTTCTCCTTACACTGAGTCGACAGACTCCCTTACTGAGAGTCGAGAGCTTGCGTCTTGTCCTGCCACACCTGTTTGTACTTGTCGTGCTTCCCATGTTCGTCCTCCACCTATTCCCGATACGCACACCATGACACTTCGTCCTTCCTCTCTTTTACAACGGCCCGTCCTGCCGCTTCCTCTCTTCCTGACGTTCGTAACCCTAAGTCTGACCTTGTTCGTGCTGCTAGTCCTACTGTCACGCGTGTTCTTGCCACACTTGTCACTGACCCTACCTTTGAGTCTGCTGCTACGTCTGCCTTAGTCAATGAGCTAGTTGACTGTCATCTAGACTACTTCGCAAGCCTTGTTCCTGAGTCTGACTGTCCTTGGTCCGTATCCCGGTCACCTGGAGCGCGCGCTGCTCGTCGCCTGGAATGTGAGCTCCGCGTCACCTGGAATGCGAGCCCCGCGTCGCCGGGAACGCGAGCTGCTAAATGCTACAAGCGGGTGCTGCTCGGCGCTCGGTGCGAGAGCTGAATCACGTCTGCTTTCTTCTCCCCTGTCTAAACGACTGAATTACACTCCCGTTTTCTCGTTGTAGGTAGTTATCCATAGTTTCCTGTGTGTCGTCAACACACTGTGTTGTTGACAGCTCCTGTGATGGTCATTGAGCTAGTAATCTGAGGTAAGGATCGTATCGAATACATTTCCGTTGTCGGCATCTCTCTTTACCGGTACCAGTCTGAGTAGGTGGCGTTGATACCCTACACGTGTGTTGCTCTATTTTACTGTTTCCCATTAGCATATAGTTGAATCACTGGCAAGGAGACTTCTAGTGCAGCCACACTTTTCGGATCAAAAAGTACTAACTCTACGTGACAAAGCTGACTGACATATGACCCTACATAAACGGTACGATGCAAGCTTCAAACTTCACGCAATATCTACTATATGACTACTTTGACCAGTCTTGAAGTTTCAACCATATACGAGCTTAGTTTCACCGGGACCATGACCAATACCGTTTACGGCTCAGCACGACTAGGCCCAACAATGAGTACTATTCCGGAATGCATTAATTCATCCACTGCTGATCACAGCGACGTGCAGGACGGAAGACTGAATGCCATTCACTATCACGGCGTGGCATCTTTGGAGCGGAAGTCGAGCGTCATCTACAATTGGCATTCATTTGGTATTACGGTGTCTTGGGCGGACATTTATCGCATATCCTCTTATCTCGCAATGAACGACAACATCATCGATTTACACAACATGTACGTACACTAAGGTGCTATAATTCTTCGGTACACAACATTCTGCTGAGTGCACGAGATGCGACCTTTCTGTCAATATGATATCAAGCCATGTTGCTTGTCTGAGGTTTTGTGATGTACTTCCCTCATTATAAGCGGTGTGGCCAACATGATATATACTGTTACTGCTTCCCAACTTATATAATGTTAAACCTTTAGGTGCTTGTAATAGTAGAGGCGATTTCCTAACATTGTGTAGTTTCCGTTCTTTCATGAATCAGTTCGTATCGATAGGCTTACCATGCTATTCAAATGTTCGAGATTTTTAATCGAGTGTTTGGTAGTTGTGCTAAATGCTTCGGTTTTTCATATGGAGGACTTCACAGCTCCAAGAACTGGGACTCGAAGCATGCTATGCGAAGGCGGACCAATCGCGGTCAAGATCGTGTTGTTCGCGACCAAAGGAGTTGGCGTGTTTTCGTTGGCAGATTAGTCGACATGTACTTCAGATGGCAAAACATGTTTCGCTGCCCCCAATCACGTTCCCGTTCGCTATTTGTGACTCGGCATCCTTCGACTCTCCGCCGTCGATTACGTGTACGTTCGCCATTAGATTATTTTTTTTTAACAGTTTGGTTCACCGTCGTTCGCAATTCGGGTACACTGCCTTTGATGTGCGGAATGGTCAACAAGCGTGCATAGACGGATTGAGAATGATACGGTAAGATTCGCTGAGGTAAGAGACATTAACAATCACAGACAGTGACTCGGATTCCTTAGACTCCCTTTCGTTTGTTTCATCTGAGTCGGCAGCTGATTGCGTTTTTTATCATGGCGTAATACCATCGAATGCGACTTTTGTCAATCATGGTTTTGCATTAATATCAGAGTTAAGTATCAAGCTAGGCTAGTATAGAGTCCGTGACAAGGGTCCAATATTCACGCACGTTAAGATCCCACTGATGATATGGCAGTCGCTAAATAACGTCCAGTTGTTAAATCGGTAATGCAGCTCTGAGCTCGTTTAAAAACGTTGCCTATAACAGTGGCACTGCATTTTTACCTACACTGAGAGCGACAATACTTACATACATTTTCTAAAACGCCTGGGAGTATAAAAACTACTCTACTATGAAGATTTTGAGCAGTGCAGCTTATCAACTACAATAATCATCTGCTGCGTTATTCAAAAGAGAGCGAAATCAAAAGAGAGCACTTTCCGGATCGGAAAGTGCTAACTCTACGTGACAAAGCTGACTGACATATGACCCTACATAAACGGTACGATACAAGTTTCAAGCTTCACGCAATAGCTACTATATGACTACTTCGACCAGCCGTAAAGTTTCAACCATATACGAGCTTAGTTTCACCGGGACCATGACCAATACCGTTTACGGCTCAGCAGGACTAGGCCCACATCGAAGCTAGCAGATATGCGTGTGGCAGACGCCAGATGGATTCCATGGCCCCGTTGATCGACTCTGCCATGTTGCTCGTGTAAATGCCAAATTTCCTTGTTGGTGCCGCACAGCAAGCCCACTGCTTTTCGTACACCCATATTCTATTCCTTCGGGCGGTGTAGTCGCCTCGTAAGCCTGTACGGACCCACACACCATCCTCCCCGTCCTCCAAAGAGTCTTCTTCGACGACCGTCGCCTCGTCCTCTACCACGCTGGTCCTCACCTCGGTGTTGTGCCCACTCGGCCCTGGATCAACGGCGGGAGGTGGAGGGTCGCGGGTTGGTGCCGCCCTCGGTGGTACAACTCCGAAAACCGCGGCTCTCAGGACGATGTTGTCAAAGTTGAAGCACGCGGCTGTTCCACGCCATCCACTAGGCACGACGATCGGTGAAGATCGTCGAAGTGGATGCGGCGCCCGCACGGATGTTGATGGTGCTCTTGCTTTTGAAGGGGGGGGGTTGCAAGAAACACACCGCGAACAGGGGGAGCTTGTTTGCTTTGCACCCTACTGCTAACCAAGGAATCATGTGATGAGAGGTTTGATAATCACTAAACACAACAAATTACGGCGTAAACCCATTGTTATACCGTCAGAGTGAGCCGGTGGTGGTCGCAGAGGACATGACGCTGTGTCTGGTGCTGATGAACTCGGTGCTGCGGATGGGCTTGGTGCTGCAAACAGACGCCGGGAAATACATGGAAATGGAATTTGAAAGGGAGGGATAGAACACTAGCGTGTGCGGTTTGGGATTGCGAGGCACGTTGGTTTCTTTATGACGCGCGAATGTTCATGAACCTTCAAAGCATGCATGACATGGTAACCAAGATCGGACGAACACAGTGACATACCGTGCTGCCAAACCTGGTTCTGCATATGGGTGAGGCGCAGCGGATGGTGACGGTGCTGCGGAAGGTTCTGTGGATGCGGATGGGCGAGGCGCAGCGGATGGTCCTGGCGCTGCGGATGGTCCTGGCGCAGCTGATGGTGCTGGTGTTGCGGATGGGCGGGGCGCAGAGGATGGTGACGGTGATGCGGATGGGCGAGGCGCATCGGATGGTCCTGGCACTGCAGACGGTCCTGGCGCAGCGGATAATGCTGGTGCAGCGGATGATGCTGGTGCTGCGGATGGCCGGGGCGCAGAGGAGGGTGTTGGTGCACCGTCTGGGCGAGGCGCAGCGGATGGTCCTGGCGCTGCGAATGGTCCTGGCACAGTGGATGATGCTGGTGCAGCGGATGATGCTGGTGATGCGGATGGGCGGGGCGCAGAGGAGGGTGACGGTGCTCCGGATGGGCGAGGCGCAGCGGATGGTCCTGGCACTGCGGATGGGCAGGGCGCTGCGGAAGGTGCGGATGGGCGTCCTGCGCTGCTCTGTCTCTGTCGCGGGCCGCGTCGGCGAGACTGTGATGCTCGGGCACGCCACCGTGCGTCTGCCGCTTCCGCCACCAGATTGTTGGCGGTCACGCGTGTCCGGCGTATTTGCTGAACGTTGCGTCGGCGAATTCGAAAGCCTCTTGGGGGTGTGGGGTTCGGCCCTGGCGCGTCGACTACAGGTGCAGGACCATAGAGGTTAGTTGTGAGTAGAGGATGGGAATCCCGTGCACCGGCCTTGAGTTCATTGTACTTTATCAACATCCTTGCTGTCAAGAGTCGCCATAACATTTCTGCGGACGTCTTCCCGAACCGCTTTACGTTCTCCTGCATGTGCCACCCACAGAAGTAGTGCGCCACCTTCTCCGGGAAGACATCCTTCACCGCTGGGATGAGGCCTTTGTCACGGTCACTGCTGATGGTCGCGTCGTCCCGCCCCTTCTAGTTGGGACAGTGCTGATCAAAAAGCAGGCAGAACCAAGTCCATGTGTCCTTGGTCTCGCTCTCAACCAGCGCCCACGCGATTGGGATGATCTATTGATCGTCGTGGCATAGAGCAGAGTAGCTTTCTGAGCATGGATAAAAAAAGTATCGTCTAGTGTGACGACAGGCCTGCAAGTCTTCAATGCTTCGCGTGTTGCACTCGGCGCCATGAAGAAGCGGAGAAATTCGTGATTGTACGTGAGTAGCCTTACGGTGGCTCCGCAATCGATCAGCCGAATCCGTACTTGCAGCGCCGGAATGTACCGGAATGACTCGCTCCAATCGCCGAATCGTTGCTCCGTGATGCCGACCTTCAGCCTGTGAAAGTGGAATGATTGGGTGGAATCGGAACATGAGTGACGGATCCACAGAGTCGTTACTAGTGATGGTAAAAACATGTTTGGAGAATTCCGGATGTACGTAACCGGTAAGCGTTGTTGTATGTCAACTTTGGACCAGAGCATGCCTGAATTTGCCTGGCGTAGTCCCAAGGGGCGTTGAAAGGCGCAGCACGGACGTAATTGCCGAATTTACGCCAAAGGTACTTCCTCTTACGCCCCATTCCCGGCCACCACCTCGCCCGGTAGACATGGTCGCAAGTGTGCTCCTTGGGATCCGATAGCTGAATGATTTGCCACGGCCCGTTTCGCTCGATGCGAGCATAGCTGCACCGCAAGGGACAGTCCGGCTCCAAACCCAGCTTCTGACTCTTGCACAAAACAAGCGTCGATGCCCTCCTGGTAGACTTCACGTAAAAATCGTATCTATGTACCACCGCATCATCAAGCAAGGCAAAAAGGCAATGGTCTCGCGAGGAGTACCAGTTACCCTCCCGAATGGCAGCGTTGTCATTGATAGTAGGTCCCTCCTCGGGCTCAAACTCTACGTCGAACTGCTCTAGAATGATGTCCTACATATCACGCCCTCTAGGCGGTGGTTCCGCCATTGTGCTTCTGCCACTATAGCTATGTTAGCCAATCGCAATCTGTAGATGTTAAACCAAGCCCATGTAATTTTGGTATGCGACGCGAAGGCTGGTTTGAACGACATATTGAACGGTATTTGGTGCAGAGTGGACACGAAATCCCTGATAGATTGGATCACAGCTAGGAGGTCCTCCTGGTCCCGCATCGTAGCGGTCACCTCTCTCGCCGCAGCAGCTGTGTGAGTGGCTTGCTTTGCGCACCCGCCTTCGGAGTCACGCTGCCGGACGTGGAGGCGCTGCTGCTGGAGGTGCCGGAGCTGGAGGCACAGGAGGTGGAGGCCCTGGAGCCGGAGGTGCTCGCCCTGGAGGCACTAGAGCTGGAGACCCTGGAGCTGGCGGTCCTGACTCTGGGGGTACTGGAGCTGGAGGCACTGGAGCTGGAGGCCCTGGAGCTGGTGCTGTCGACCCTGGAGTTGGAGACCCTGGAGCTGGAGGTGCCGGTTCTAGGGGTGCTGCTGCTGGAGGTACTGGGGCTGGAGACCCTGGAGCTGGAGGTGCCGGTTCTGGGGGTGCTGCTGCTAGAGGTGCTGGTGCTGGAGGCCCTGGAGCTGGTGCTGTCGACCCTGGAGTTGGAGACCCTGGAGCTGGAGGTGCCGGTTCTGGGGGTGCTGCTGCTGGAGGTACTGGGGCTGGAGACCCTGGAGCTGGAGGTGCCGGTTCTGGGGTTGCTGCTGTTGGAGGCGCTGGAGCTGGAGGTTCTGGAGCTGCTAGACGCTGCAGCTACTGGTGCTGGTGGCACTGCACAGCCGCGACTGTTCTTCGCTCCGCCATCACCGTCGTCTCTGCCATCGCCTGACTCCGTGCTTTGCCAGGTTCTTAGCCTCCCGTCTTCTACTGGCCTCCTGCTCCAGCCAGGCTCCCCTCTGCCTGCTCCTTCTCCTTACACTGAGCAGACAGACTCGCTTACAGAGCGTCGTGAGCCTGTGTCTCGTCCTGCCTCGCCTGTTCGCGCTCGTCGCACTAGTCGTCGTGTTCCTCGTGAGCGTCCGCCTCCTGTTCCCGGCATGCACACACTATGGCACTTCGTCCTTCCTCTGTTCCACAGCGTGTTCCCCTGCCGTCTCCTCCTGAGTCCTCTCTTCCGCACGTTCCGGACCCTGAGTCTGACCTGGTTCGTGCTGCTCACCCTACTGTCACGTGTCTCCTAGCCACTGTTGTCACTGACCCTTCGTTTGAGTCTACTGCTGCGTCTGCCTTAGTCGCTGAGCTTGTTGACTTTGCTGCTGCTTGTCGTCTCGACTACGCCGCTAGTCTTGTTGCTGAGTCTGAGTCAGTCTGTCCTCCGTCCGTCGGGGGTGAGTGTGCTCTTGGCACGGACGTCCTTGAGGATAGGCAGGAGGACTTTGAGTGTCTTGCAGCCGCTGCACCTCATCTCGTGGCCACGCTGCTTGCCCCTGAGGGAGACCCGGATGCACTGGACATCCCGACCCCGCGCTCTTACGCAGAGGCGATTACGGGTCCCTACTCCTCTCAGTGGCAGACAGCCATGGACGCAGAGATGGCATCCTGGAAGTCCACAGACACTTACGTCGATGAGGTTCCCCTTCCTGGGGCGAACATCGTCGATGGCATGTGGATTTTCAGGGTGAAGCGGCCGCCGGGTTCTCCGCCTGTCTTCAAGGCTCGTTACGTTGCACGAGGCTTCAGTCAGCGACAGGGAGTTGACTTCTTTCAGACCTTCTCCCCCACCCCGAAGATGACCACTCTTCGGGTGCTGCTGCACGTTGCCGCTCAGCGTGACTACGAGCTTCACTCTCTTGACTTCAGCACAGCGTTCTTACAGGGCAGTCTGCACGAGGAGATCTAGCTGCGCCGCCCACCTGGCTTCACTGGGTCGTTCCCTCCTGGTACCCAATGGAGCCTCCGGCGGCCAGTCTACGGTCTCCGCCAGGCGCCTCGTGAGTGGGACGACACATTGAGGATGACACTTGCGGCTCTTAAGTTTGCCCCTTCCACTGCTGACCCGTCGTTGTTTCTTCGCACCGACACCTCGCTGCCGCCGTTCTACATCCTCGTGTACGTCGACGATTTGGTCTTTGCCACTGCTGACACTGAGGCACTCGCCCTTGTGAAGTCAGAGCTGCAGAAGAGACACACGTGCACAGACCTGGGTGAGCTGCACAGTTACCTTGGCTTGCAAATCACCCGGGACAGAGCACGCCGCACCATCACCCTGACTCAGTCACACATGGTGCAGCAGGTCCTTCAGCGCTTCGGCTTCACTTGGTCCTCGCCACAGTCCACTCCTCTGGCTACCGGTCACTCGCTCTCAGCGCCGTGTGTACCACTCGCGGATCTGCTGAATGGGGGGGAGCTCCTGGGTAGGAGGGGAAGCACCGGGACGAGCTCCAGCAGCACCTCGCCGGAGGCGGCAGTACTCGAGGTACCTCTCCTGCAGCTGCTGGGAGGAGAGGGCTCCTCCAGGTGTAGCACGCTCAGGCTCAGCACCCCCAGACTCAGTACCCCCAGACTCAGCACCCCCAGGCTCAGCACCTCCAGGCTCCGCACCTCCAGGCTCCGCACCTCCAGGCCCAGCACCCCCAGGCTCCGCACCCCCAGACTCAGCACTCCCAGGCTCAGCACCCCCAGACGCAGCACCCCCAGGCTCAGCACCCCCAGACGCAGCACCCCCAGGCTCAGCACCCCTAGCAGGACGAGAGTCAACAGCTACCTCGACAGGCTCACCCGGGTCTACCTGGGACACACCTGAGGGAGCGGCACCCTGAGGGGGGAGGGGGTCTGGTACCTCAGCACCTGGAGCGAGGAAGAGAGGCGGGGGGGGGGAGCGGGGCAGTGCGGTAGGGGAAGAGGCGGTAGTAGGGGACGGACTCGTCAAAAGTGACGTCCTGAGAGGCCAGGACACGACGCGAGGTGGGGTGGTAGAACTGCCAGCCAGGGGCGTCCGGGACAAAGCCAAGGAAGACGCAGGGGACAGCGCGACGGGAGAGCTTGTCCGCGGACGTGTCGCGGACAAAAGCTCGGGATCCCCAGACCCGAAAACGCGACGCATCGCCAGCCTCTCCCATCCAACGCAGTGTCGGAGAAGTCTCGGGCAAGGAGACACGGGGCCAGAGGTTGAGCTGATGCGCAGCGTATCGGACTGCAAACGGCCACAGAAAATGGGGGGCAGCCGCATGGCTCAAGGAGGTACGAGCGACCTCCATGACCAGACCAATGCGGCGCTCAGCAACCCCATTCTGCTGTGGAGAGGCCGGAAGCGTGTACGACTGCTCAATGCCCTCCTGCTGACAGAAGGCCTCCAAGAGGCCAGAGGAAAACTCCCCACCTCTGTCAGAGTGCAGACGCAGGACAGGGAAGTCGGAGCGGAAACGCTCACTGAGCTGGAGACGAGATCTGCGGATCCAAGGGATCAAGACATCAGGGACGTCACCCTTGGCGCGCAAGGGGAAGACCGTGGTGTAGCGCGAGAAGTCGTCAACAACAATCAGGAAGTACCTCTCCTGACCCTGACCACAGACGCGGGCTGGGCCCCACACGTCCATGTGGAGCGTCTGCAAGGGAGCAGTCGTCGGGGGAAAGGAGGAGGAATGAGGAGCGGCGCGCTGCCGCCCCTCAACACAGGGAATACAGGGAGGAGCAGGCGAGTCTGGAAGGGGAGGGAGTACCCTGGGAAGCCCAGCAACAAG